AGGTACTCATCTTGTGTATGACTGCTGTTAGTTGTCTCCTCAGGCTGTAAGGCTGTAAAGAGTTTATGTGTTTTCTGCAAAACAGCCAGCCAAAACTTACTGTCTTGCAATCGCCTCTTTTAATAGGTTGTTATGGGTATTTAATCATAGTCTTGGTAAACTGGAAAAAGCCTGAATAACTGAAAGTGAGGAAAGATGTGGCCTGAACTGATGCGGAACATAATCTTCTTTGTGTGCTGGCTTAAATATTGTCCTACCCATCAGTTTGTACATGTGACATGACCTTTATTCAGCCTTTCCAAGTCGAATAGCTTGGCTACAGCATATTTTGTTGGAATACAGCTCTGATAATTTCTTCAAACTGGGAGCTGTGTAACAGCCTGGAAGTGAGGAGGAGCCTTTGCAAGCTCTGAAATGTAAGCCTCTGGCTTTGCAGCACAGTATTCCTTCAGCTGTCATCCATAGTGGTCTTACTTTTCCTTTTTAACCGTCCTTAAGGTTACGTAAAGATGGTAAAAATCAAATATGCATGTATAATTCTTCAGTGAGTATTAACGTGGCTGAGTAATGTGATTAAAAACATCTGTTAATCAAAAACACATTTTCTCTAATAGCATGCTCCCTGCCCTGCCCCCCCCCCCACCCAGCGGGTCAGAAGATCTAGTTAAAAAATGGTCCTTGGTTTTTGATACACTTACTTTCTTTTTCCCTATATGTTGAACAAACCGAAGCTACTTGGTTTTAAGTCATAGATTATCCTAAGCATTGTTAGTGACTGTCCTCAGTGATATTTAACACCCAGTGTGCTAGTGCTGTTCTCAAAAACTGCAATTTCAGGCATGTGCAGACTGTAATCAGTAATAAGGAGAAAACTTAAATCTCAATCATTCAACTTCATTTCCAATGTATGGAGATAAACTTTTATCACTAGCTCGTTGCTATGCTATTTATGTTTGGTCGAGGTCTAGATGAGAGTATAAACTGCATTCAAAATAGAACAGGCTGAAGGAATTATTCAAAACAGGCTTTTGTTTATATTCTATGCTAGTTTTGAACTTTGAGAGAATAAACCTTTGGATGTGAATTTGCTGTTTAATATGGGTGTTCCTGACAATTCACTGCTACAGCTGTGTGCACAGCGGGTGGGATTTTCATATTTGTGTTGCTGAAGCTGCAATACATTTCTACTAAGGGTGCTGACTTTACAAATTCTTGAAGTATTTTAGTCGGACTTCCCTTAATACTCTGTTGCTTGCTTAGGACACAAAGAACTCAGTTCCTAGCAGTAACTGATAATCTGCGAGCGTAATAGGTAGATAATGCTGCTTGAAAGGTTTACTGAGAGGTTTTGGTGATTTTTTTTTTTTTTAAATTACTGCCTTGATTTCATCTTGGGTTAAGAAAAACTGGCTGAGATGTGCCTGTTTCCCCTTCCTCCCCCCATTTTTAACATCGGTGATTATTGCCATGCTTGTTGAGGATAGAGAAACAATTGCTAATAATGCCAAGTAAATATTGTGATACACTTTCCTTACAAACAGAACCTAAAGATACAGAGCAAGGACCTAGCTTCCAAACATAGGTAACTCAATATCCTACTCAGGTTAGCAATATCCCAGACTGAGGTCAATGTTCTGTGCCATGTTAATCTAAATGAAATACAAAATCTCTAGACTCAGCGGTAACATTTTAATTATATGTGCACTTCACTTGGTAAAAGGGAAAATAAATGAATAGTTTCAGAAATTAAAATTTTCAGCTGGGGCAGATGATTGATGAAAATAAACGAAGTGTTTCCAAGTCTTTAAAAAGAGCAATAGCTTAGCAAAATTGGAGTGCGTATTTACATAAACACTTGCACCCTTTTGGCCTATGTTATTGTGGCCCTCTGTTCGTAGAATGTGGACCCAAGAGCAAAAGACTTGCTTCAGTCTAGTCATGAATTCCTAATGCTGACAAGTATCTTAGACATGAACACTTCGGTATCTCTGCCATGTGCACGGGACAAATAATCTAATCCAATTAAGGCAAATTTAAAATCTATGGTGGAAGACACTTCAAGCCTTAGATTGTATGAGCTGCTGCTTATTTTTACAGTAAATAGTGTTGTTGCTTTAAAACCAGCTTATGTTAGGTTGGCAAGTTAAATTAGAAAAAAAAAACCAACCTGTAACATGTTGCATGATATATTAGTAAAAGCTGGTTAAACTTTGTGATCCCAACAGATGCATCTTATGAACTGAGGCAAGTATACTGTGATCTCTGGTCTTGTCATTCTAGACATTAATTGGAGTTTCTATGTCAAATTAAAACAGTGGATGTATCTCCTGTTTTATCTGAAAACCAAGATGTGTACAGAGAGCAACTACAATTTATGCTTCTGAACAGGCATTATGAATCTTGAGCTCCAAAAATGCTTAACTTCTTAAAAGCAGTAAGGAGACAAGTAGGTACAAGTAAGTAGTTTTTTCAGGATGGGGTATGGGGGAAGTTGAGGGTTTTTTGCCATGTGGAGTGTCTGCCAAGGCACCCTGCACTTCAGTGTTTTGAGCAGTGCCCCTTATAAAAAAGTGTTGTAGAATGGAAAAATTCCATTCTAAGCAAATCTGCATCACTTTTGTTAAAATGATGAGGCAAACCAAAGTAGTTGCTTCTATTTTGGGCCTAACTTGTTTCCATTTGTACAGTGTGCTTGCCTTGCTACATGTCTGTACTCTTGTGGCCATTATTATAGGTATATTAATATAAACCAGTGTTGTGGTTTAACTCCAGCCACCAACTAAGCACCACGCAGCTGCTCACTCACTCCCTTCCCCCTGCAGTAGGACAGGGAGGAGAATTGCGGGGGGGGGGAAGGTAAAACTCATGGGTTGAGATAAAGTCATTTTAACAGGACAGCAAGGGAAAAGAAAACAATAACAACAATAATAATAATGATAAAAGAATATACAAAACAAGTGATGCACAATACAGTTGCTCACTACCCACTGATGGGATGCTGCCCAGCCAGTTCCCAAGCCACAGTGCCCCCAGCCAACTTCCCCCAGTTCATATACTGAGCATGATGTCATGGTATGTAATACCCCTTTGTCCAGTTTGGGTCAGCTGTGCTGGCTGCACATGCTCCCAGCTTCTTGCTGGCGGGGCGCAAGAAGCTGAAAAGGCTTTCACTAGTGTGAGCACTACTTAGCAACAACTAAAACATCAGTGTGTTATCAATATTACTCTCATACTAAATCCAAAGCACAGTACTATACCAGCTCCTAGGAGGAAAATTAACTCTATCCCAGCTGAAACCAGGACAACCAGTTTTCTGCATCTTATGCAAGAATAGGTTTTGGAAGTGCTTAATGTCAGTCTCTCTTTTTGAGTGTAAATCAAGAAGTTAAAATCTGCATTAATTGGTGTTTGGCATGGGATTCCCTTGTACTTTAAAAACTTTTGCTATTAACCTGTCCTGAGGCACTTGTTTCCTTGAGTTATTTAATCACCTTTCATCTGGCCTGCTGTCAGATCATCTTTGGAATGGTAAAGGGAATAACAGTCATTGGGTGACACAGGAGGTTTGGGCATGCAAATGTAGTAGGATGTTTAAATGCTGTGAGTTGTTACTTTGCTTATGCGGAAGAAAGGAGTGAGATTGGAGGTGCTCTGGAATGCTGGTCCTGATCTACTCTTTAAGCCTTGTCACATACCCTCCTTGTACTGACATGGCTGTAGTCATCATTGGATTGGTATGGGGGAAAGTGGGGTGTAAAAGCAGGGCATCTGATCCCCACTAGTCATAAGGTTGGACCATTTTCAAATAGGGACAGGAAACTTTTTTCATAACCTTGTAGCCAACTGTATGTGATGAAGAGTAGAGAAAGCTGTTTCCTGCTGCTGCTAGTTGATGTTTTGGAAAGTGCTTGAAAGTTTTTGAGTAGGTACGAGTCTGAATTCCCAACACAACTAGATGGCCAGTTCTGCATTGCTGAAGGGGACTCCCGTTTGCTTCCCTCAAACTTCAGGCAACTGAATATAATGCCCGAGTTGCATATTTTACCGTACCATGCTCGCTTGTGTAGGAGATAATGTACCTCTATAGAATCTCCATTACCAAAAACTAAAATGCTAGCGAGTAATAAGCTGCTCTGGTTCGGACAATGTAAGTATTACTTGAATAAGCCTGCATTGTCAGAATTTAAACTGCAGCTTACTTCTCTGATTAGCTAACTTGAATTGGCACTAGAAATACTAATACCTATTCTTGGAATCAAAAGTTGACATGAAATATAAACTGTGCTGAGAAGCCTAAAGGTGGTAAAGTCACCTAATAAAATGTGAATTTTAAATATTTCTGGTTTTTCAAGTAACTCTCATGGGGCATATTGAAAGTCTGAACTTATGCATGTATCCCATCTGTCTGAAGTCTTTTGAGTCTTTGGGCTACTCATAAGTTTACTACTTAGTAAACTAACTTAGTAAACTTACTGCATTCAGTGTCTGTTAATATTTCTAAAGCTGTTGAACTGAATGACCATTCAATAGAGAGACAGTAAATTGTCTTGTCCTTAAGGTGAGGAATAATACAAGCTGGCTGTTTGTAAGATTGTGGATACTCTTTCCTTCAGTGCACTGTTGACCTAGTAATCAAATTGGAAGCAAAATTAATTTTCTCTTGCCAGTTTAAGGAATAGAAAAACTGAAGTGTTTGTGAAAGTCGGTAATAAAGGCATCTCAGATTAATTGTGTGCAACTGATACAGTCTGAAGTCTGCAAAGCTTCTTGAAGCAGGGAGGTCCTTTTAGTGTCTCAAATTCCCTTATAAAGCGATGCTTAAGTTACCTCTCTACTGTTTGCCTTAATCTAGTCCTAATACTGGAAAGGAAGTGTAATAGTTCCTCCTGATATGTATTCACATATGTATGTTCACACAGCATGGTTGGGTGGAAAGGTGCTTAGGGTGGCAGAGGGCTGTCTGAAGTACTATGTACTGATGTGTGTTCCTTCGATTTCAGGCAAAAGTAAGGAAGCGGAGATAAAGAGGATAAATAAAGAACTAGCAAACATTCGGTCAAAATTTAAAGGTAAGTGACTTGATCATACTAACTATACATATTTCCTCATATGACATTTTTATATGTGTGTTTGATTTGTTTTTACATATTTAGAATTTCTGTGAACTGCTGATGCAAGCAAAATGCTAAAGCAGGCTATTAGAATAACTGTTGGAAATGTTCTCTTAGCTACAGAGCTTCCTGACAGTGCTGTGATTCTTTGCCATAACGGAGAAAACTGTCTCCCATGTCAAAGAATTGAGCTACTGTTCACAAACTTTTTCCAATACTTTGCCTCCTAACCATGTGACTACTCAGCCTGTTTTCTTCCAGAAGCCCGTGAACTGGTTTGAAGAAATGGGTGGATGTTAATTACTTCCAGTAAAACAGAATCTTTTTTTAAACTTCTGCCTTCTTCCGTCCTCTCTGACCCCTTTAAGGGAAGTAATGGGTTAGGCCATCTTCTAGCAGAATTAAGATAAAATTGTGTAGTTGATGAAGCCGTACATCTTAACTACTTCCATAAGCAATACAAATTATTCATATGAAACAAAGGATATGCAGTGACTAATTCCATCCTCGTGTATTCCAAGTGTCAGCAACTCACTTTCAAAAAACACATGGTAAAACTCATGCTGTAACTTTATTCAAGTTGTGTGTGTGGCTTCAAATTTTAAAGATTCTGATGGGCTGTTGAGATGCTTTTTAATGGTGTGCTACCGGTAGTGGCTGTGGCGAACATTCTGTTTCAATAGATATGGGGCTGTGTGTGTAGCTAGATAAGGCATTGCAGTGTGAAGGTCATACAGCAAATTCTGAAGCCACATGTATTCAGATTAAACCTGTTTACCTTAATTATCAATCCTCACTTAGACTAGTCTATCTGTTTGGAATACTCAAGGCATAAACAAAGCCTGAAATAACTTTCCTGAACTTGGCAGGGAGCTGTTGCTACTTTTTAACTGGGATGTCTCTTAAAGGCATATGAAAACCTGCAAAAACTTGAGTATGCACAACAGCTTGGAAGGGAAAAGTTTACTACAGTGCAGGACACTCAAGAAAAGTTAAGAAATTTTTCTAAATTGGAAGCAATCATGTGCCTCTCTGCTAATGTTTTTCTCTTGGAAATTTTAGCATGCTCTATCCAGATGGGTAACTTCAGTCAAAGGGTAATTGAGGAAATTTTAATGGCTATTTTTCCAGGGTAAATAGAAAAAGGAACTTTCATTTAGGCACCTCCCTATGCTGTCACATTGTTTTTCAATTCCTTTTCATTGCAAAGCTTACATCTAACACTGATGTTGGTCTGATTTTTGCCAGAAGTAGCAGGCTTTGCATTGTCTGTTCTACAGACTATTCTCCATCACCCAATCCAAGTCTAAAACTTGAGTCCATTTTCAAGTCACAGTGACCATTTGTGTCCATTTTCCAGACAGTGACCAGCTGATATAGCCTTCGTGTACTAAGTATGCATGCACACTGAGCAACTGTCACATAGTTCAAGGGTTTACCAGTTTTCTTGGTCCTAGCTGTATGATCGAAGTGGATAATTCTATTGTCTAGTAAATTTCATGCTTGAAATTGTAACTTTTAAATAAAGCAGTTTAATCTCCAAGCAAGATCTGTACTAGACAAATTAAGTGATCTTTTGGATAAAGAGACGGAGTTTAATTTAAAACTGTATAAGATGTTTCTGTATACTTAAGAAGTTAATTGAAGCTTCATGTTACTTCAGCTTTCAACTAGTTTCACTAAATTGATTAATCTGGAAGATACAGCCACAAAAACTGCTTGTTTTCTCATGGTCTGTATTTGTAAAAATATGTGCTGTCAGATAGCATTATTGGTTATCAGCTGTTGCTGAAATTCATGTTGGCACCTAAGTACTTAATTGTTTAGACAGGGCAGGTTTTTCTAGAAAGCAGCATGTCACTTTACCTGTAGGTATATAAACAGTTACTCCACTTGTGCCCTTCTGGCATCAAGAACAACGAGAGATGAATGCCTAGCTGGAAACCTTGCTGCAGTCAGCAAGCAACTAAAACAGAAATCTAGTTCTTTCAGCAACTTAACTTCAGACTATGCCACCTTTTTTTAATCTTGATTTGGTTGATGAGCAAGCTTTAGTTTGTAAAATGTAATCAATTTTTCATTAAGGAGACTGGAAGCTTTCATCAGACTAAGTTTTTAGTTTGCAGAACAGAATGAACTCTGACAATTCAGTATTTTGTCAACGTCAGTAATCCTGAGTCTTTCCCTGTGAAGAGTCTACGAACATGTATTCAGAATGTTGCTGATACCACCTCTAGTAAAAGGTTGCCTAACACATGATAGACCTCCTATTCACTGTTATGTGAATGTCTTTATAAAAGCAGCAGTATAAGCTACCGTATTACTAACTAAGAAACCTTGGCAGTAATGAAGCCCTAAGTGAACTGAATTTTGTCAGAATAGCATTCTCTGGTTAACATACGTGGTTTGGTAGCTGTGTTATATCACTAACTAATCATAGGTTAAGGAGCTGCTGATGTCAAAGCTTATAAAAACCTGTTAAGTTTTGTTCCTTAGTTTTGCATGGTATTTTGTGACTTAAGTACAAAACCAGTTAAAAGTACGTGCACAGTAAATTCTTATCTGGTTAATCATGATGTGGGGAAAAATGATCATAAGAGCTTTTGTCTGTGTAGAACCATGAATCAGGCAATGATCAGAGTATAGAGGTGCTTTCTGCAAAGTAGTGCAGTAACTTTAGCCTATGTACCTTGTGTAGCATCCTTTTAAGTACAGTTTAAAAAGTTTTGAATAAATATCAGTGTGTGCTCATGCAGTAGCTTCAGTGAAAGATGACTAAACCTTCCCATAAGCTGATCTTCATTGTGACTACTTTATTACTGAATTTGTATGAATTTTAGGTGAAAAATCTTAACTGAAGACAATAACTTGATGTAGCCTGGGCAAAAACTAGACATAAATGTCACAATTTGGAAGAAGCTGAGTTTGGACAACTTGTTCTGTAACTGCTTGAGCCCTTGACAGTGTGAAGTGGCGATAGCTGTATATCTTTCTGCTGCAGAAGTTCTATATGGACTTTGTGCTGCACGGTTCTTCCTTGCAGGAGGACTGCATAAAAATAAACCAAGAGCAAAATGCATTATGGAGTTCTGTTTAAGTGGAGATTGTTGAGTTTAACCCAGTTTCTCTTTATGTAGCTCAGGCTTTTAAAAAGGTTTTTAAATAGTTTGTCCTAAGCCAAATGTGTGACTCTGAACTTAAGATGGAGTCCCTTGCTAAATAATTATGGGGAATACTGGTGCCCTGGGTTGGTTAATTACCTGGCTGAAGATGCAGCTGTTGGACTGACTGCATTGCTGTAGCCAGAGAAAGGTCTGACTGTTAAGTAGCAAGGCTGGCAGTAGTGCCTCTTGACACAGGTATGTTCTTCCTTGAGATTAGCATAACAGACTGGTATACCACAAGTATCCTTTCTTTCCTCTGGACCTTACGCTCCTCAGCATACTCTGCTGCAGTATGTAGACCCCCACCCCATGTAACTTGCAAGATAGTCTTACAGTGTTTAAAAACAGAGGCTAAGGTATTTCTACTTTTGTTCTATCATGCAAGTAGCTGGCAAACCTGTTACCCACCTTTATGTTTGGGTAACCTGCTACTTAAAATACCCTTGTACTTAACAGGCTGGGATAAGGCTGCACATCTGTGGAAAAGCTGTACTTTTCTTGAACTGATGGAACATATGCCATGGCTTTGAGTTCTGATCTGGCTTCTGTGCTCCAAGCTCAGAAGGAATCCAGAATCTCTGTACTTAGGGTGACTTCGTCTCTTGTTTCAGCATGAGGAAGCTCCATTGCTGAGGTCAGTATGTCCTTGACAGTTGCTTTAAATGCTTCTGCATTAACTGAGATAAGATGCATGTGGTAGAAACTATACCAGTGTAATAAAGCAGAAGTTGTAGGAGTTAAGTGTGAAGTGGAGAAATACTATTCCTTTTGTTTTACATGTTCGGTCTGGAAGCTGATTTTGCTCCCATCCTTGAGCCAAACTAGAAATCTGGTTGTCAGAGTAGTAATTGCTATGTAAATGAGTGAAAAAATAATCTGGTTTACTAATTTGTTGTATCACTTTGATCTCTCAGAGCAGAATTTGTGTACTAATGAAACTGCCCTCAAACCTGTAAGGTGTTTCTGCAGTCAAAGGGAACTTTGTTTTCTGCTTGATTCAGGCTTGTTCTTTTTTTCCAGATCTGGCATTACATTTTAGTTTCATTCCAATTGCTTAAAAGGGTTTGTGTTAGAAGAGCAGTTGCTAGATTTCAGACATGCTAGTGTATCTTAGTTTTGGCTTGTGCAGAAGTGACCCAATGTCAGTTAATAATCTCTGCTTTTTTTTTTGTTCAGCTCACTTGTTTTCCCAAATTCGAGCAAGCCATCTCTATTGTCTCAAACTACACAGTAACCCTTTGCAGGAAGTTCACGATAAGCCTCTAAATACCTGTTTTAAACAGAAGCTGTGTAACAGTAAATTGCTTTCCTGGCAGGCTGTGAAAGTGTAGTCTTTATGATGGGTCTGGTTAGTCACGCTGTCTTCTGGTCATCTAAGAAGTGTATGAAGGCCATCAGACAGTAAAATAATAAAGTGTCTCCACTGACAAAGTGAATTGTTGAAAATAAAACCAGACTACAAGTATCACCTGAATTGTAGGGCTGCTCTAGTAATACTCTGTTCTGGTGGTAGTAGTATAGTAACAAAGTACTAGCTTACGGATTTTTGTGGTTGTCTGCCACAAATATTCAGTCTTTCATTTAGAGGGCTTTAGACTGTCACTTTTATGGAAAGACAAATCTTGTCTCAAAGTGTAGATACATTCATAAAAAGAAATTTCATTTTTTTGCTTAGCCTCGAAGCTAGTAGTAGACCTTCTGATACAGTACAGCACTGCATTGCTGTCAACTGCATGAACATAAGTCAGTATCAACCTAGGAAGGAAGCTCACTGCATGCAAACACTTAAGGGTG